GCGCGTAGAGGAGTTTTCCGGTGAGGTTTGTTGGGGTTTGGTCGCGGGACTACGACGGACCTTGTGGTGGTATTGGTTTATGCACAATACTGATAAAAAAGTGACTTTGACGCAACAACTTCTCAAATCACCAGAAAATTGCACAATGATGAGTTCTTTCTTCCTGGATGTTGCTGGAATGATGCACATCGATTTCTCACCAATGCTTTGATACCATGGGGGAAAGCATGGGAACAAGTATGTTATTGATATTCTATTAAGTGTTTTACGATAGCCCAATTTACAACTATACACAACACACATTCTACTCCTATTCCACGTGGGACTAGGGTTATTTACATAACTATTTAACAACAAGTATCTCTATTTAATAGCATCGATTGATAACCTAGAATAAATGGTAAGTAACATGCTGTAATAAGTTAAATTATCCTAATAGTGTAAAAACTTGGTTGCACTGTAAGTGTATATAAATTAAATCTTTTGCTTGGTATAGTTACACCTAGGAGGGTTGTAAGACCACGAATATTTATTAGTTGTACATTCTTTTGGAATAAATTTTGCTCATTTTAGCTTTCGTATTTTTTTTTTCTATTTTGAGAAATCGCTTATTTTTAGTCTTTGCAACATTTTTACTTTACTTTTTTAGGCTTTGCAACACTGATCCCGTAGAACCACACGTAGAATCTTCCCTTAATACAGTCATATATTAGTTGTGATATTTCTTTTTTGGAATTTTAGTCATTTCAAGTTCTAGTTGCTCCTTTATCTTTTTTGAAGCTCCTTTATCTTGTTTGAACAATTTCTTATTTTTAGGCTTTGCAACATTGACTTAGTAAAAATTACACGTTAGAAATGTTCCAGAACAAGGGTATATCTTAGTTGGATTCTTTGGCCACGAATTTCACGGTCGAATTGATTCGCTTTTATGGTTTGAGCAGTTTCTTATTTTTGGGCTTTGTGACAGTGACCAGGTAGAATTACGCATTAGGAGTTTTCCAGAATTCAGACATGGATTTTACTAATTTCAAGTTTGAATTGCTTCACTTATCAGGTTTCAGCAATTTCTTATTTTTACGTTGACTTGGTAGAAGCAGTGCGATAAGTATCCTTCAGCTCTGATTTTGCATGTTTCAGATGATTTTGGGTATGAATATGAACGAAAAACTTTCTTTTTTGCCTGGTAGGTATATTCTGTTAAGTGTTTTTAGTTGTTAATTTTTTGTTTGTTTGTTAAGTTTTTATACTCCTAGAGCATCCAATTATCCGTTAAGTGATATTTCCGAGTATGGGCAGAAAAGTAATACAGCATTCCAACTGTAGAAAAATGTAACCTGTGAAGATTCTAAGGGAATACTCATTATAGATAGACGTAGCATATCAACGTTTGCACTTAATCACGCTTTAGTGGAGCAATCTGTAGATGGATCACATCTACGAAGTAATCCTGGTCGTAAGACCGAATGAATGTTACTTAGCTTATAAACTAGGGCAAATAATAGATTTTTAAGTTAAAATGGATTATAGCTGCTTTTGAAGTGATCAAGATATCAAAAGTCTTGTCTTCTTCGCAGCTAGAAGAAAGGCAAAGTTCTTTAGTCATGGCGTGAAATACTTCATGTTTTGCATTAGAATTGTGTTGAAAATATTCATTTTATTAAATAAATTCAGAGACTAAGTGATTATTGTTCATTGGCAATGTCACCTTCCAAGATTCTGGACCAGCCTAAACTAAGGTTTATTGTGCTGAAGAATCATTTTTTTGATAAAGTAAAACAATTCCATTAATGCATGGGAAAGATCCTGTACGCTTGGCCTGTTTTTTTTTTTACTCATTTGAACTCTAATTTATTCCTTTTTTTTCTGGTTTGAGAAATTTATTAGTTTTAGGCTTTGCAATGTTGATTTGTTGAATTACACGTCAGAAGTGTATATATTTTGTGTGCGTGTGTGTGTGCATGTGTGTGTTTGCTGTGAATTTTTTTGGCATAAATTTTACTCATTTTAGCTCGAGATTCATCTTTCTTTTTCTATTTTTGAAATTGCTTATTTCTAGGCTTTGCAACATTGACTTGGTAGAATTACATGCCATAAGAGTTGTAGACTTACTTGTGTATTTTTTGATACAAATTTTACTCATTTTAGCTCGAAATTGCGTCCTTTTTTTGCTGGTTTGAGAAAATACTTATTTTCAGGCTTTGCAACATTGACTTGGTAGAATTACATGTGTACAGGTGTTCTAAGACCACATATATATTTTAGTTGTGAATTTTTTTGGCACGAATTTTACTCTTTTTTTTTCCTGGTCTGTGAGATTACCTATTTTTAGGCTTTGAAAACATTGACTTGGTAGAATTAAATGTGTAGAAGTGCTGCAGACCACGGATATATACGAGTTGCGATTCTTTTTCTTTGGCACAAATATACTCATATTGCAGTCGAGTTGATTCTATTCTCTGGTTTGAGCAATTTCGTTGTTCAGGTTTTGCAACATTGACTTGATTGAATTACATGCTACAAGTGCTGTAGACCAATAACAACAACAGTAACAACTACGCCTCAATCCCAAACAAGTTGGGGTCACTATACAAATCCTCACTGATCATCTTTTGTCATTAAAGCTCAACTTATGTCATCATCATATCAAATAAAAATAAAAGTTTCGTTATTAAAGAAAAGAAGATAAGTTAAATATGTAATACTCCCTTCATTTTAATTTATGTGATGTAGTTTGACTCGGAACAAAGTTTAAGGAAAAAAGAAAGGCTTTTAAAACTTGTGGTCTTGAAAGTTTAAAGAGTAAAAGCTTTTGTGTGAATTTTAATATGTTTGGCTATAACAACTTCTCATAAGGGTAAAATGGAAACTTTAAAGTTGGATTGTTTTCAATTATAAAAATGTGTCATTCTTTTTGAAACGGACTAATAAGGAAATTGTGTCACATAAATTAAAACTAAGAGGAGTAATAATTATAATATTTATTATTATTATTGTTGTTATTATTATTATTAAAAGGTCTCTATATTTTAACGCGAATATAAATCTATGATAAAGTCAAAATACTCCTAGAAAAGCAATTGTCCAAAACCATCGTACTAATAGACTAAAACCTATTTCCAATTGCTTCTCCATAGTTCAAGCCTTTGGTTGAATAGTGAATACCATTTACAAACTAATTTTTGAGCATCAGGAGATCAATGTGTGGATGAATTTCATCAATCTATGATGTAACTAGCTTAATAATAATCTTGGTCGCACCGTCCGCTAGACTTATTGGTCTAAAATCTCTATGTTCAATGACTCCACTTTTTTAAGGCATTAAGTATTACAAATTCTCCATCTATCTTTTAAGAGCTTGGCACTTGTCCTCCTAACTTTACAGGGTTGCAATTTGCAACTGATGTCAATTTCTAAAATTTATTTCGTAAGTTGATCAATATACAATCAGAGAAAATAGGAAATAGAGAAAGCATGAATTGACAAATGGAGAAACGAAAATGCATTATACATAACGACTAACGACTATGCCTCAGTCTCAAGCAAGTTGGGATGGACTATATGAATCCTTAGTGTCCATGCTGTTCCATTTAAGTTCATCTTAGACCCATATTAATAGTAATGACAACAACACAGCAGCAACAACGTCAACAACAACAACACCAATAATAATAATAATAATAATAATAATAATAATAATAATAATAATAATAATAGAAGGTACTAGAAGCTCTTTATATTTTCTATTGGCATATAAATTTCATATGGGACTACAAGGTTCCTAAAAAACATAAGACTAAGACCTAAAGTAAACGTTTTACCTTACCTTATCAAAACAAAAAAAACATAAGACAAACGTACTAGCATGACTAACAACATAGCCCTGAGCCCCTGACTAAGAGGTGGAAATGGAGATGCCTTACCAAAGGTTATATGGACCTCATATTTACACTTCTTCATGTACATTTCTTCCACGGTAATCCTTAAATATAGATAAAAAGACAAATGTCCTACATTTTCTCTCACTTAATAGTATAAACTTGCATTGATTCTCATTTTAGGATTCATGAAAGCCAAAGCAGGAAATTAATCTGGTGTGAGGTAGTTTATTATTTTATAAGCTTACTCTATCTAAAGGACTAAGATGCCTTGCACTATTAATTGATGATTATGAGCAAATGATTCAAGCTAGTAGGTTTGCTAAGTTTGAGCAACCTTTTCTTTCTTGTTCTTCTTGTAAATAGTTTGGACAGTCAAGTTAAGTGAGTATTTTTCTCTATTTTCCTGTTCACTTGCTCTGTTCAGAAAGATTTAATGGCCAGGTTAAGAGGTGTGGGGTAGTTGTACATCAAACTGTATTTATTTTTCTAGGCCTCTTTAAGTAACAAGTATATCCTATTTTTGTGCTTTCAGATGTTAGTGGATGACATATGAACACTGCGTTTATGTTTATATTAGGATTAAAGGTCTGAGATGCCCAAAAACTTGAAGGTCCTTGAGCTGGGAAAAATGATAATAAGAGATAATTGTGAACTCAAAATTGCAATTGCTTGCTAATTGTAATTAAAAATTTAGAAGAACAAGCTCTCTCTCTCTCTCTGTGTTATTTTAAAAATGGTGGTGTGGGGGCCAACTTGTGTGCACCTCGATTGTTCCACCGGGTACTCGCTACTAAACTACCTCCAGCACAAGTATCAAATAACTCTACCTACCAAGGCTTAGGCAAATGGAAAGTATCAGTTAGAAATATTGTCTTTGTTGGGATTTGAACTCTTGTTTGCTGTTTTCTCTAACTTCATTGATCGCTAGGCTACACATCCTTTGGTGCAAGCACTGACTATTTTCTTCATAAGTGCCCAACCTTCGAGTAAAAGAGAAGATAAAGAAAAGGAAGACATACATGCAGTTGAATATGCTAGGCCTGCATCCTACCTAAAAGGAGACCATAGAACGGCAGAACTTTCTGCTCTACATATTTTTGACTTATAAATTCTTAATTGCAGGAACCTTAGAGCTGATGCGAGTCCTCAACCGTATGGCTTTGTGGGGAATCTGGACCTCTATAATGAAGTGCTTAGATGTAACTCTGAAGCCTTCGCTTGCATAGGTGCAGGTAAAGAAGTCCTATTTAGTCGATTTTATTGTTTCCAATCTCCTATGTTTGATTTCTACCATGTCCAATCGGTGCTATTAAATTTTGAGCAAAAGTTTTGGCCCTTTATCTCTTTTGAATTTCATATGGGAGATCTCCGAGTTTTGCGACAGTTGACTGTGCTTGTGGATTGTGTTACATCCTTCTGCTAATACAATGTGTAGCACCAACTAATATTCTTCCCATATTTTCTCTTCATTCTTTTGCAAGGATAAATCATTGGTTCTGTGCAAGTTCCTTTAGATGATTTGAGATAGTATTGGAAGGACGCCCATAGTATTGAGCGACAACTGTATTTGAAAGCGTAGTTGAAATCAACTCACCCCTTCTTTGTGATTGTTAACTTCAATATGAAGTCACAATTGTTTATGTTGAATGAAGCTCATGAAAGTCATTGGTTTGTTTTGGACTAACATTGTTCTTGAGGTATTAACTTCTTTAACCTAAACGTAACAAGATCTGATTTTACGTTTTACTCATGGTTTTGCTTTAGAACAATCTTATGGTTTTGCTTTAGAACAATCTTATCTTTCTTGGCTTTAGATAAAATTTCCTATTTCTGGCTTAGCCCAGTGGTAAAATGTGTGGGTAAGCGCTCGTCACATGTTCAAACCTTGCCGTGGTAAAAAAACTTGGTTATTAAGTGGAGAAGGGTAGAGGTGCGAGCTCATTATCCACTGAGTTTTGAACCATGCGCCATTATCCGCCTGGGATTTCTTGGTTGTAAAATAATGTCCTATTTTTGCAATTGAGTGATATGAGTTATTAGGTCATTTATATTACTTGGCTTTACTATATAGCACATTGTTCAAGTTTCTCAGGCCACATTAAGGAGACTGCACAAAATCGTAAGGCTGATTCGGGTCCTCTTAAGAGCATACCTGCTGTCCAACTGCCACAACGAAGCACTGTAGAGATCCACGATTATCAGCATGACCATGTTACTAGTGTAAGTTTGAAAACAGTCAATACAGTGGCTGATTTATTGTATTTACTAAAATTTAGCACTTAATTGCAGGATGTTACCGCATCTTCTAGGAAATCAAAAGTCAAGAAGAAAGGAAGGGAGAACAGTATACTATCAAGTGGTCCTGATGCTTCTGAATGTCAAGGTTCTCTTTCGGTAACTGCATTTCTAATTTTTCTTGGCACTAGATGGCTATTTGATGATTTGGGAATATTTCCTGTCCTCAGATGCAGTTGCAGCAGGCTTTTGTGAGATTTTGGAAGATTTTTGTGGCAGAGCAGAAAATTTTGGTGATGAGCGGGATGAAAGAGAATTTTTACCAATGTCTTTGGCAGATCTTAAAGTTGTTCGGAATGAAATCACATCTATCCGAGCAAAGAAAGCACTGCATTTGATTCCAGTTGATACTCTAATGAGATCACTCAGGGTCTTAGATCACCAGATTCATCGAGCAGAAGGTTTATCAATTAATGATTATGAACAGGTAAGTTAGCAATTATGCAATTCATGTTATTCTTTAGACTTGCAGTGCAGACAATTTTCCATTTGGTTTCTTGTATAATTTCCTCTTTGCAGTTAAGTTTCGACTTGAGCTCCCACTATTTTCTATTAACTCTCTGAGAAACAATGAGTTACCAGCCTTTTCTTGTTCATTAACCTATGGAAGGTTATTGGGTCATGCTACCTCCTGGAAATCTTTGGTTCTCGTTGACATGCCACACCTGTTAATGATTGTTGTTTTATAATAGTGTCATGACCAATTGACCATATCAATAACAAAGCTTTGCTTTTCCCTTGTTATGCAGGTGGATACAGAGGTTGTGTCATCGATTTTTTGTGCTTTAGAGTCCATTCATGCAACTTTAGCTATAATGGCTTACCGTGGGATGCCTAAGCAGTTATACAAAGAAGAAGTATGCTCTTAACTCATTTTTTTTTCTTACTACATGTATCTTGTTAATTACAAATAAAGATTTCCTTGAAATTCTTCTGTTGGTATCTTTGCATGTCTCGTTTATGTATGTTAACTTTCCAGCTGACCATGGTCTTTGGTACCAGATCATTGAAAGAATCATGGACGTCTCTCGGCACCAAGTAATGAATGTTATATTTGGTAGTGATCCCGTATACCGTGCGCTGCACAAACCAGCCGACATAGCGGTTCCTGAAGGTAGGATTCTGAGCTGGACTATTGATTGTTTGTATACTAGGGCTTCATTTGGACATTTATGAAGTCATTAGATAATTGACTTTTCAGTAATTTGTGAAGTCAGGTAAAGGAAAAGGAACGAGTTAGGTTGAATTGAAAATGAGAAGTAGAGAAATTCTATAGCTTGTAGAATTTATACAGAGTAAATTTTTGAAGGGTTTACCCAAAGACTTCTTGTGAACCGAATACAAAATGTGAGAAAGTTAAAGGCAATGTTAGCATAATGACAATCTTAAGATTTTGAAACTTCTTGGTGATGTCTAGAATGGAATGGTTAGCCTGTGTGTTTCTCGGAAATTGCTGAAAGAATCTTTCTGCAGAGCTGAAAACTGGTTGGGAACTCCAGTAAGGAGTTTTGAAGTGTTCCAACCAAAATATGGATGTAGAGTATATTAAATTAGATCTAACCGTCAGTTCGCAGTGGCCAAATTATTTTTCTCCCTCTTTCAGTTCATATTTTGAACTTCGCCCGTAGCTATTATCAGTCCTTTTCTCTCATCACATGACCTTTTCCAATCTTGGCTTTCTCTGTTTACTATCCGCCTAAGAAAGTGGCAACTTCTGTGATGGTTCTGGAATCATTCTATTTTGATGAGTATCTAATTAAATCAGTCTAAAATTGGAGAAGACGTGAAGGGGATAACTTTTGGAATCATTATTGTTTATTGCTTGAGGGTGGCATGGAAACTGGTACAGTAAAACGTTTGTTCCATCAATTACCATACACTTTCCTTGTTCTGTTCTTCTCTGGACACTCTGTTTGAGTTCTGATTCCAGTTTTGTCTCTGTTAATTGGCTAATCATGGAAAAACCATCGATTATAATTAAACCCTAGTATTGTATTGCTAGATATAGTTCATATTCTTTTACTTAAGAGATAAATCTTTACCTATGTTTTCATATGCTTCCAGGCGAAGAAGATGAAGAGGCCGATGGGGACTTTGTTTCACCAAATAAGAAGAAGAGATCTAGGAGTGTGAAACCAAGGAAATCAACATCAAACAAGTATGATTATAAGTTGGTGTCCTTGATAATGAGTATTGTTTGTCTCTCCTATTAAATGGTCCTATCACCTCATGCTGGTGTCTACTTTTTTAGGGTTTCTTCTGCTGTTAGTGATATACTTCAGAAGCTTTGTGTGATTCTTGGTTTTCTTAAGGAGTTGGGCACGATAGAGCGCCTACCTGACAGTTGCATTCTCCAGCTTATCAAGACCTGCTTCACAACGCTTGTGGTTGAGAATATCCAGCGTTTGCAATTGGAATCAATAAGCTTAATAAGTCGGGTAATGAAGCTACATTTACTATAAGTTTGTCCTTTAAGTCTAAATTAATAGTGACTGCTTTGGATCTTAATTGTGCATGCGTTGTTGAGTGTCCAGATATTTTATGCATACACACAGCATCGTGCTTACATAATGGATGAGGCACTTCAGATTCTTTTGAAGTTACCCTCTTCAAAGCGCATGCCCAGAACTTATCCGCTTCCTGATGAAGAGCAGAGGCAAATTCAGCTCATCACTGGCCTTCTGATTGAAATAGTTCACAGCAGTTCAAACCTTCCGGATGTTCTGATGGAAGCATCTGACAGTCCTTCACTGGAAGTCTCAATTGATGCCAGTTACCCTATCAAATCCTATGAGTCCATCACTGAAGCTTGCTGTCTTTTCTGGAGTCGTGTTCTTCAACGTCTAACGAACACAAAAAATCAAGAGGCAGCTGAGTTGAAGACAATGATTGAGAATCTTGTCATTGATCTGTTGATTACTTTGAATTTGCCTGAATATCCTGCCTCTGCTCCTCTTCTGGAGGTATTAGAGACGCGGTTATATTTCTAACATAATCCACTTCATTGGCTATATGTTAAAGATACACTTATTTGCAGGTTCTTTGTGTTCTACTTCTTCAAAATGCTGGGTTGAAATCTAAAGATGTTTCTGTTCGTTCAATGGCCATTGACCTTCTCGGCACAATTGCTGCAAGGCTGAAACAGGATGCAGTCCACTGTAGGGAGGAGAAATTCTGGATTGTGAAGGAGTTGAGAAGCGAGGACATGAATGACCGGACTCTTCCCAAGGATGCATGTTCTGTTTGTTTGGATGCCAGAGTTGACAAATCACTTGTTCGATGTCATGGTTGTCAGAGACTATTTCATGTTGACTGTACCGGAATTAGGGGTCATGATGTTCCTAATCGCGGCTTTCATTGTCCGATGTGTTTCTCTAGGAAGCAACTTCTTGTATTGAAATCACATTGCGAGTCTCAGTCCAAGGATGCTAGTCAAAATAATCGTAACAAGTCAGGAAAGACTTCACAAGGTACTGAGGCAATCACAAATTTGGAGACTGTTCAGCAGCTACTCCTGAATTATCTCCACGATGCTGCGGCTGTGGATGCTGGACATCTGTTTACTCGTTGGTCAGTGCTTCTCTAAAATAAATATTTTTATGCTATTAGTATTTTTCTGTTTGATAACCTTGCCTGAGAAGATAATCCATTGCAGGTTCTATCTTTGCCTTTGGTACAAAGATGACCCTAATTCTCAGCAGAAATTCATGTATTATGTTGCTAGATTAAAGTCACAAGCAATTGTGCGTGACTCTGGTTCTCTTTCTTCACTAATGACGAGAGAGTTGGCAAAAAAGCTAACTTTAGCATTGGGACAGAATAGTTCTTTCTCTAGAGGATTTGACAAGATTCTGCAAGTGCTTCTGGTTGGTAAAGTAGCACTTTCTCCTTTTTTCTCGAGAACTTAATTTTTTTTATACTCATTATAAGATGCTTTACAGGCAAGTTTGCGAGAGAACTCTCCAATCATTCGTGCAAAAGCATTGCGAGCAGTAAGTCGGTTACTTGTTCTAAAATTTATATCTGTTTTGTTCCAACTTTTGGAGTACTTATCTTCTGCTCCTCTTGTTTGTGCCATAATGAGAGCAGGTTAGTATCATTATAAATGTTGATCCAGCGGTTTTGGGTGATAAGCATGTCCAAACAGCAGTGGAAGGGAGGTTTTGTGACTCCGCTACATCTGCCCGAGAAGCTGCATTGGAACTTGTAGGCAGACATATTGCTTCCTATCCTGATGTTGGTCTGAAGGTATTGAATTTAAATCTATTTGATCCCACAAAGCTTGTGGTGATACCTTGTTCAGGATGCCAGTATTTGTCCTCCTAACTCTTCTTTTGGTTGCACAGTACTTTGAGAAGTTGGCGGAAAGAATAAAGGATACTGGTGTAAGTGTGCGGAAGCGTGCTATCAAAATCATTCGGGACATGTGCACCTCAAATTCTAGCTTCTCGGAGTTCACTACTGCTTGCGTTGAAATTATTTCCCGAGTAAATGATGAGGAATCCAGTGTACAGGTAGAAGTAGTCAAATCAATTTCTGTTCCCGTTTAACATTCTAGCTCATTCTCTTTGGCCCCAGGTCCTTGGTTAATGTGATAAAAGCAACATGACCATAACAGTATCTGCGCCAGATAAATGTAGAACTTGTAAGGTATATTCATCCAATGATTGACCATAATTATCATTATACTTTAGACCTGACAAACGGGTTGGTTGGCCCATAAACATCGACTCAGACGAAGGCACTTCCTTGGTGCGGTTGATAGGCCAGTCCCAATTCTAGCAGGCAGGTCCCGAGCCAGTCATTATACAAGTGGGAAGTTCCGATCCAGCCCACAAACCCTCCACTTTGGTGGACTGGATAGTAGGCGGGGTTTTTCTAAATTAATTTTGAACTTTGTATAACAAGATTTAAGTATTTAATTTATTGTTAAATAAAAAATGAAGAAGTGTAATATTGAAGAAGAAAACCTTATAGGTTATTTGTTGTGAAGAAATGGACCTTGGGCCTAAATCAACCCTGAAAGCTAGCTCATAAGGTGCAAATTGTCCAAGACCATATAAGGAGGCAAACAAGCCATCCCTCCACTGGTAGTCGAGGTGCGCTCAAGCTGGCCTGGATATCACCCTTAAAATAATGTGCTTATTTTTATTCAGAAACTAGGTAATTTTAGATCATCCGTTGACATGACTTATTGTTGATCCCACTTCATACAAAACGAATTGTTGGTACTTTCAGTATTTTATTTATATTTGGTTTATGTACATTTTCTTGAACTCCGTTTCCATCAAACCCTGCCAACTAAATTCAGGTAAATAGAGTACCATATAAGCAATAAAGCAACTAGTCTCTCTGTTCAATTCAATTGAGCCAGCACGTTCTAGTCCGTGTCTAAATTCTTTTCCCCTATCTCTGGATTGAGAAGTTTTCATCTCCAAAAACTTGAACAGAAAGCTAGTTACTATTTAATGTTAGTTTTGCTTTGAGGTGATGTCTTTATCACAAACTTTTTTCCACTTTTAAAGTACTACTTTTGTTGAAGCATGTGACCACATCATCTAAAATTTGAATTGTTAGACAGCAAGCACATTTATTTATTTATATCATGTCTGCGCATTTACTTATTTATTTTAGGTCTTAAACACTCCCTATATGTAGGTCTGGCAATTTCTTTTGGAGCAAGCACGCGATTTTTTTATTTATTTTTTGATAATAGGTGATGGTAAATTTAAGTTTGAAGCCCAACTTCTACTTTAATGCCAGATTGAACTGTGTGACCACCTTGTCTAAAAGAAAAAGCTGTTAGAGGGTCACATTTCTTTATATATGTTAGGTTTGTCTACTCTTTAATTTACTTATGCTAGGTCTGGAACAAGTTCGAAATTTTTTGGCAACTTATTGTTCAGACTTACTTTCTTTTCTGGATCTATTTATAAGTTAAGGGGGTTATAGTTTTGGACGGAGGGAGTACTTTTTGTGTCATTGCATCTAAAACATTTTCTGCATCATAGTTAAATGGTGGCTGGTAGCATGTTTTGGGTGTGAATGCATAGGTCTCTGTGCAAGATATATTTTGGGCTTTGCTAATCAAGGAGTGGATGGAACCAGCAGTGTTGTTCACAATTTTGAGTTTGGTTTTATACTTGTATTGTTTTGCCTGAAGATTAATTCAATGTCACATTGAATAACCTTGATGTGGACAATGCTTTATATGGCTAGAGTCCAGTAGCATAGAAGCAATTCTTAGACGCTGTTCTATTATTTGTTTATAGGACCTGGTCTGCAAGACACTTTATGAGTTTTGGTTTGAGGAGCCTTCTGGTTCACAGCATCAATTTTTCGGAGATGGAAGTTCTGTTCCACTTGAGGTGGCTAAGAAAACAGAGCAAATTGTTCAAATGCTCAGAAGGATGCCCAGTCTTCAACCTCTTGTAACTGTTATTAAACGCAACATAGCTCTTGATTTCTTTTCACAATCTGCTAAAGCTGTTGGCATCAACCCTGTGTCCCTTGCTTCGGTCCGTAGGCGCTGCGAGTTGATGTGCAAGTGCTTATTGGAGAAAATACTGCAGGTCTGATTTGTAGGATGGTTCCTATTAAATATATGGATTTCCTTTTTATTAAATATAATCTTCAAGTATCTTCCTCTACAGGTGACGGAGATGAATACTGGAGAAGGAGAGGTGCACATGCTACCATACATGAGGCTCTTGCATGCCTTTTGTGTTGTTGATCCTACTCTATGTGCACCAGCTTCTGATCCTTCTCAGTTTGTGGTCACGCTACAACCTTATTTGAAGAGTCAGGTTGTGCATCTATTTGGTCTTTAAGCTACTGCGCTGTGGTTCTACGTTATTTCTTTCTTGTTGAGAAAATTTGCTTTTCTAATTTTTGGAGAACAAAAGTTGTTTCTTTAATTTTCGTAATGGAATCGAGTACATCTTTTGTGTGCATGTGCATTTGGTGCATTCACTACTAATTTGAGATGTTGTAGGTTGTTTGTCGCTACATAGACAGCATGCCAGAAACATGTGATATAAACAAGGAATAATAGAGCATAGAGCTCATTTGGGTGTCAACAGTGCATTCTGTGTGCTAACTTGAAAGGGATATAGTACAAATGGCTCTTTTGGGTTTGAAGCACAATGCACATATTGAATGTGCAGTTTTGTCTATGTAGCCAACTTGAAGGTGATATAGTACGTTAGTCTATTTAGTTCCAAAAGCAGCATGCCAGAAACAGGTGGGTTATCATTTAATACCAACCATGTTTTGTACTATTTTCGGAAACCAAGCTATTCAATCTTGTGTTAGGAAGCGGAAAAATGTTAAATTGAGTGAAGAATTGGTTGGGATACATAAGAGCACAATAGATATTCAAAGTTGTATGAACTATAGTGGTATTAAAATTTTGAATCATGCGATTGAATCCTTGGGAAACGATGGTGGTAGAGCAGACATATACAGTTATTGCAATGGTGGCAAAGAACTAATTAGGATTATGTTTGGTTAATTTACAACTAAGGTTATCTTGTGGCTAAATATTAACAGATACTTATTAATTTACCAAAAAAGTATATGATAAAATACAAAAAATTCTGCTTTTTTGGGTGCCTGAGAAGAAACAAATACATCAAATATGGAAATGACTTAGAGGATATGTACGAGTGAGTTATCTTAGTGTGAGAATAGTAGGAGAATACAAGGGACTTTCTCATAATCGTGGGTTGCACTAGAGATGTGCTTTGGGCCATATTTGTTTGCCGTATATTGATAAGCTAACTAATAGTACATAGGGTGAGGTTCCATGATATATGTCATTTCCAGATGATATTGTATTAACTGAAGAACTTGTAGGAGGAGTCAATTAAAGTTCGATTAAAGGAGACAGACAGAATAAATGTAATTTAGCCCTCATTGGATGAACAAAAGTGAATTGAGCTTGGACGAGATTATGGTGCCTAAAGGCGTACATCAGTAGTAAGCGCGTTAAGACCAGAGATTTTTGTAGTGCTAGCAGGAATGCAAGTGAATGAATCCCATTCCCAGCGAGTGAAGTTCACCCCTTCAATCTACTCCTCAAAGAAGGAATGGAGGGCAGCTTTCTTAATAATTCAAATAAATAGTTCTGCTCACATCAATGGAAGCTCTTCATTAACGAAGAAGCTAATTGGCTCCAGATGTATAAGCTTAATCTTCTCAGAAAATAGCTTGATTGATGCAGGTGTAGCTCATCGAATTAAGATATATTAACTGAAAGGAGAGAGTGTTAGTGTGTTACAGGAGCGCTATGCAATTGGAAGATACCTAACATAGTGAAAGGTCAGTCTCATAGAACGATTGTGAGACCAACAATCAGTTATGTGGGAAAGAATATACCTCTAAGGCCCAACATATCCAAAAGATTGGTGTCGTAGAAATGCAATGTTGAGATGAATGTACAATCATACAAAATTGGAGTAGATTGGAAATGATTGATCATATGGCTCAAGTAACCCAAGTAGATGATAAAGTGAGAGGTTGCTTGAGATGGTTTGACTGTGTCCTACCTTGACCTTCCAATGTATCAGTCTGTGGGAGATGGATAGATTGAAAAATGCTTACAGCGTATCCAGTTTGTGTATTAGTGGGTGGATGTTCCTTCATACTAAAATATTATCCAAGATTGGCTGTACCCGCTTGTTAACTTATGGCCGTCATTGCTATTGCCTCCCAATTCCTCCTTTTCTTCTATTGAGTAGTATACTTTTAGAAGTTCGATACTACGGACAAGTTATGATAAGCTTTATTCTTCTGCTTCTGTGTAGGCTGATAATCGAGTTGCGGCCCAGCTTTTGGAGAGTATAATATTTGTAATTGATTCTGTTTTGCCTTTATTACGGAAGCTTCCTCAAAGTGTTGCTGAAGAACTTGAGCAAGATCTGAAGCAAATGATTGTTCGGCATTCTTTCTTGACTGTTGTCCATGCTTGCATCAAGTATCTACTCTCATTGATACCCTCTTCTTGCTATATATAGGAACCAACCATTTCTGTTCATAAAATTCTCGCAACTTCATCTTCCATGCTTCAGTTATTTCCTTATAAGCTTTTGCTTACAAAATTACAGGTGCCTTTGCTCTGTGAGTAAAGTTGCTGGAAAGGGTTCAACTGTTATTGAACACCTTATCCAGTTATTCTTCAAACGCCTAGATGCCCTAGGTTTCAGTAATAAACAGGTTTGTTATACCCCATGAGGTTTCTGATCTCTACTAGGAAAAAACAGATGTTGCTCTTCATATTTTGTTTTATGATCTATATGGCATTCTTACATTAGTTCTTTTTCAGAACTTTCAGCAAGTGGGCCGGTCTCTTTTTTGCTTGGGTTTGCTAATACGTTACAGTAGCTCTTTGTTATATGTATCTGGTTCCAGTAACAACTCACATGTTGCTAGCAGCATCAACCTGTTTAAGAGATATCTTCAGACCGAGGACTATGTTATCAAGGTCCGCTCATTGCAGGTGAGTCCTGCTATTCCCTTAAAGTTTTTGCACGTATGTCGTAATCATCACTTGTGTAACTTTGTAACTTTCCAGGCACTGGGCTATGTTTTAATTGCTAGGCCAGAATGTATGCTGGAAAAGGATGTAGGGAAAATCTTGGAGGCCACACTTTCTTCTAATACTGATCCACGACTCAAGGTAACTTTTCTGCTTGTGTCATGCTTTTGAAATGCTGTGTACTGAATCATTCGTGGACCAGATGCAATCACTGCAAAACATGTATGAGTATCTTCTTGATGCTGAAAGTCAAATGGGAACAGATAGTGGAAGTGAAAATGAAGTAGCTAATACGGCAGTTGGTGGCCCTAGTGTGCCAATTGCTGCAGGGGCTGGTGATACCAATATTTGTGGGGGAATAGTTCAATTGTATTGGGCTAAAATCTTAGAAAGATCCTTGGATGTGAATGAACAAGTGCGTCAATCTGCTCTTAAGGTAATTCCCTAATTATTCTTATTTCTTTTCCTGTAAAAATTGATTCATTAAGCTGCTCGTATGTATTGAACTCACTCCCACGTATAGTACATTTAGTCTAAGAGCTGGTCTGCTCACTGCTGGCGTTACATTTCCCCATATCGATCCTCAGTATTTGGAAATTCTATGTAATGCTATTTTCTGAAGCATGGAGTAGTTATTCTCAAAGTTATAGATAGATCCTTTTACCCATTCGAATTATGGGTAGATTCCTATTCTGATCTACCTTTGAATTTGTTCAAACAGATTTTGGAAGTTGTATTGCGTCAAGGTCTTGTCCATCCTATTACTTGTGTTCCCTTTTTGATAGCGCTTGAAATAGATCCTCAGGAGGTGAACTCAAAGCTGGCTCATCATTTGTTGATGAACATGAATGAGAAGTACGCTCTCTGTATTGTTAGAATCTAGAATTATCTCTGGATATTATGGGTTTATGTTAATTGTTGGTGGCTCCTTTTCAGGTATCCGTCCTTCTTTGAGAGCCGTCTTGGTGATGGTCTACAAAAGTCATTTATGTTCATACAAGCCATGAATAAAGGTGGTTCTCAAAGTTTAAATGCTCAGTCTAAAGCTCCAGGCATCATGTCAGGAAAGTCGGACCCTGGCTCATTTGATCATGCAAAGCATGGGGTGTCTAGAATCTATAAGCTCATCCGTGGAAATCGTCTTTCAAGGAACAAATTTATAGCCTCAGTTGTGCGCAAATTTGATACACCAAGCTCGAGTGATTCAGTAGTCTCGTTTTTGATGTATGCACCAATCTGGATTACTGACCCTTTACGTTGGTTACCCTTTCCATATTTATTTTGTTTGCGTTAATCTGGACTACTGATCCTGAATTTGTTTTATCCCTCCTCTCTTCCAGATATTGCACTGAAATTCTCGCTTCACTTCCATTCACATCGCCTGATGAGCCCCTTTATTTGATCTATTCTATAAATCGGATTATTCAAGTTAGGGCTGGCACAGTGGAGGCAAATATGAAAGGATTTCTACAATTTTTACAAGCAGGTAGTCAAAAAGTAAATGGAAGTGGGAGCATTCGAACAGAGCCCACTCAACCTATTAAGTGTGAGACTGAAACAATGGTTACCAACGAAATCCAGGAAGGGTTGGAAAGGGATCGTGTCTGTGTAGATTATGGATCAGTGGATTCATATATGCCCCATCTGGCATCATTAAATCCACATGGCATATCCAATGTTGATTTGCACATGATCCAGGTATGCTTTCTCCATCAAGTTCAGTCTAACCATATGAGCATGGTGTGGTGTGGCATGCAGAGCACGTGAAATATGTCATTATGAGCTTGACTGTCGTCTCCTTTATAGTTCACATGTTACCTCTTAACTTTCCAAGCTAATAGAAGGCGAGTACTTTGATTCTTCTGTTTGACAACTATGCATAATACAGGTGGAATGTCTCGCAGCCGGTGCTTTACAGTTGCTTCTGAGGTTAAAGAGGCACCTCAAGATTGTGTATGATCTAAATGATGCCCGTTGTCAGGTTTGCCTTTCTGAATTAACTCTGCCTCTGACTATGCAAATGAATGCCTTGCAGCATCTACCTGGTACTTATATGTGCTGGTTATGTCATCAGGCATATTCTCCAAATGAACCCCCAAAACCCGGGGAAGGTCTTTCAAGGCAAAATCTTCAGTTCAATTTGAAGGAAATTAACATTGACCCCCCAAACAATTATGAAGACTTTGTCCGGAGATATCAGGTAAATTAAGTGCAGTGGTGATGCTATGTATGTGTCCATCGACTTGCATGTTTAATTCTGTATGGGAGTTTTGTAATCCTGAGAGAACACATATATTACACTTATATGTGTTGCGTAGATTATGCCTAGACAATTATTCACACATTTATGGTTTCTAAGCTTATAGTTCTTCCGTAGTATCTGCTGCATAAACCCTATGCTTTTGAAGCTTTCATGGTTAAATATGTAACACTTCCTCTTTCAGTTCTTGTCTCTTCTAAATATGTTTTTTTGTTTTATTTCTCAGGTAATTGTTTATTGAAGCTAAATTGCAGGTGTTGTGTTGTGATTGCAAATCTAGGGCTTTCACTTTGTAATTAGCTTTTGTTATGTCCAAATAGACAAGCTGGAGTGAGCTTTTAATAGCCCATGTGATTAGGCTAATCGCTCTTTCTACGAATGTGATATTTCCCCTTTATTTTAACCATGGCCATTAGGAATTTTATGGCACTAGCAGGAGGATTAAACAGCATTAAGTAAATGAGTCAAAGTTACTGCGGTACTTGTTTAACTATTGCGTCTATCCATTCTGGAAAGATAGACTACTTTGCAGCTAAACTAAAGTGGCTGTTTGCCCCCCTCCCCCCACCCTCTCCCCCTCTCTTCTCGCTTTTGATATTTTTACGCAACAACATAATTGGGATGCACTCGCAGAGACAAACTTTAGACTAAACATGTGATTTGTTGCATTTTGATTATCATTTTTGTAGGATTTCAAGAATGCCATGAAGGAAGATACAGTGGACTATGCAGTATACACAGCAAACATCAAAAGGAAACGCCCTCCTCCAAGAAGAAGTAGGAAGTGTGGTCGAATGATGGGTGGTGATGATGAAGATGATGAAGACGATGGAGAATGGGGTAGCGGAATGAGAACTAGTAATAGTGGTAGTGGCAGAAGAAGCAGTAGCAGGTTAAGGCAGCAATACGAAATGTAAATACTTACAGGTAACACTAACATGTACAGTATGCAGGAAGACAGGTAAATGACAAAAGTAGCAAGAACCAAAACAGATTTGTAACATCATCTATAGAAGTTAAGAGATCATAACCTGAGGTGCCAGTACTAAAAGTTGAAGCTTGGAGCTCCAGTACGTCGGTGGTGTGCTCCATTTAGAAGTCATGATTCTCGGAGGCACAAATTTTGGTGACGACCTCCAACAAGTAGCAAAATTGAAACTGAATCATTTCCTTATTATTTCTTTGGGGGATTTTAAAGGAGGGGAAGAATCTTCTTGAGCTGTAGGTTTCTCCATTTTCTGTACATTCTAATAGATTCTGATCTCATTTGGAAATGAAATCACACCATTGTTTTCGTGTAGCTCTTTTTGAACATCTGTTCTGCAAGTCATATTTTAGATTTTATAGACGTAAAAGAGCAGAAAATTTGTAAGGTAAAAACTTACTCGCATCATGTGTTTACCCAGTTTGTATTCTTGTGTACTTACGGGTCATGGAGATAGATAGGAGGTCGCTCCCAAGCAAGGCCTGTAAATATGCAGAACGTCAGAATACTTTCTTTGGAACAGTGCATTATATGATAGTATTCTGATAATGATGATAAACTGATAAGATCTTGTACTTTATGAGATTTTTTATGAGATCTGGAAAGACATTGCTATCATTGTCGATGTAGCCAATATCACAGGGTGAACTCCCTGAAGACATTGCTATCATTGTCGATGTAGCCAATATCACAGGGTGAACTCCCTGCGCCCCAACCGAACCCCCTTATCCATGGTAAAGGATGGACCTTAAGTTGATGGGTTCGGTTGAACGTTTTTGATACAGAACATAAATATGTACGTGAAAGATTATTAAAATGTCAACAAGTGTAAAATTCTGAACACAAACAATTTTAAGCGTGCGTAGATTAATTGATGAGAACCTTATAAAGTGAACTTGACAAGCTTAAATTCTGAAGTTACCTTTGATGGTGAAAGACAATCTCATATATGTTTTATTGTAACTTGAAGATTTTCGCAGGTCACTGTCCAGCTCGATATATCCGCATTGCTAGCAAAAAGCATCTTCCCTGGTCCAGGTAGTAGAACAAAGGTGCATGGCACAAGTTTGCTCAATTACCCTTTCATTGGCTGGTGTGTTTTTTGTGGGGAGACATACTAGTGTCAAGATCAACGAACTTTTACCTCCATGTTAGGGAGTATAAAACCTAGTCTTATAGTAACACGTGGCCTTGATTTGGTCTTCATGAGAAAGTGTAACGCAGTTGTTTCCAGATCTAGGCAATTCGTAACGTGTGCGATTGTACTCACTACTTTTGAGGCAATTCGTAATGTGTGCGATTGTACACACTACTTTTGACTCGGCCTATGTATGCGGTGGAAATGACACCAGGTAGTCATGACTTCACGTAATCATTTTTAAGTATGGTGTTTAAAATATATTTATAATTTATAATATATTTAAAAATTAATCAATTTCACTTAAACTTCAGGACACGACGTCCTATAGTTTAAATCTCAAAATTCAAACTTCAGGACATCGTGTCCTAAAGTTCGAAAATTATGTCATGAAGTTCGCATCTTATGTCCTGAATTTTAAATTAGTAGTTCAGAAATTCGGGACACTTAGTCTTGAATTCTAAATTAACAACTCAGAAATTCAGGACTCTAAGTCCTGAATTTCCACATTTAGGATACTTAGTCCTGAAGTTTAGTGAATTGGCTAATTTTAAATTTATTAAATTGTGAAAATATTTTAAATATCAGGCTTAAAAGTGGTCATTGCTGCACTTCGCCCATGTATGTACGTACACTAGTGGAGAAAGATCCCATGCAGAGCACGGGCCCAATTACAAGTATCTATTTTGAGTAAAGTTTTTATGTGGCACTCAATTTTGTGTCACCCATTAAATATGTACCCACTTTTGAAAAATAATTGATATCCAATTTTAGGGTAACTTCAAATGCATACAATTTTCTTTTCTTCTTCGGTGCTGCTTTCTTCTTCTTTGTGCTTAGGGTTTCTTCTTCTTTCTTGGTTGCAAAATAGGTTTGTTGAATTTGTTGTTCTTTTGACAATATGATGATTGGTGTTGTTTATTATATTTGGAAGTTATATTTTAAATTTGAGCTCATTTGGAGTAAATCTGGGCGTTGAATCGTATATTGGATTGTTGAAATTCGAAGAACAACTTCATGTTTCAGAACTTCAGAGGAAATAGAGATTGAATTACTTAAGATTCAAATTTCTGAAGTTGCATTTGAAAGATAGAAGAACTTCAATTTGATTTCTGAAGTTGCGTTGAAGAGATTGAACTAATTCAGATCAGATGAGTACACTTTACAAAATTTTGTGCAATTATGATAATAACTTCAGTGCTGGCCCCAGAATATGGGTTTATATGAAAATGCCCCTTATTTTAGTTGAACTTTATTTTTTATTTTGTTAAAAAAATGATACTTGTTCTTTCTTTATTTATTTCTCTTTTTATTTCTTTTCTAAAAATAACTATGTTAAATAAATTATTTTTGCTTCTTTTTTGCAGATTAACAGATATTAGTAATTCAATTAAATTTTATTTTGTAACAACGCATCAAATCAAAGGGCGCATTTGCATCTATACCCGCTTTTTGTGTCACATTTTAACTTGTGCCCGCTTTGCAAAAAAAATTGCAAGCGTACCCGCTTTTTCGCATAACTTCAGCACACGGGGCTGAAGTAGCAAAGGTGATCACGCAAAACTTCAGCATTCTAGTAGCCGGGCCTGAAGTTCAGCTCTAGAACTGAAGTTTTTGTTTTTTAACTAGCGAACTTCAGCTCTAGAGCTGAAGTTTTTGTGTTGTAACTGGAAACTTTAGCTCTAGAGCTGAAGTTTTTGTGTTGTAACTGAAAAACTTCACCTCTAGAGCTGAAGTTTTTGTGTTGTAACTGGGAAACTTCAGCTCTAGAGCTGAAGTTTTCTTAAAAGAGATCCTTTTTTCCTCTTGAATGTATGCTTTCACTGCAGCTATTGTATGCTCTGGTTCAACCATTACGACAAGCACGACCATCTTTAGTTCTGTGATACTTGTAAACGTTTTCGAATTTCTCTTTACAGTTCTTGGCACTTCTATGATAACCAAGGTCAGCCAATTTCCTGCACATAACAATGAAAACAATTGGAACAAAACAAAGATACAAATCAAACTAATACCTCATCTTATCTTGTAGAGTATTCATTGTATTCTTAATAAAAATATCTCATACTTGTATTTACCACATAAAGATTAAAACTTGAAAAAAAGGTTAACTTTTGGACTAAAACTAATAACTGGAAAAAAAAAGAAGAAGAAGAAGAAGAAAACGAAGGAGGAGAAGGAGGATGAGAAATGAGCTGAAGTTGTTTAAAAAGTGAGTACAAGTTAAAAGTTCTAAAAAAAATAGGTATAGGTTAAATGGGGGCGACCAAACAGGGCGCCCCGTGCAATTTTTACAAATCAAAGTTAGAAAAAAGGGACCATCACATGTCTAATTAAGAGGAGGAGGACACAAGTTTTCTTTTTCTAATTTTTTAAAGTTATTTTGAGGCACCTGAGAGTCCTCAGCAGTGCAATAATACGGAGGAATATTAATAGCCAAACAGGAATAAACTAAATATATGAGCTATTTTTGGAATAAGCGAAAAATACTTGTAACGACCCGGCCGGTCGTTTTTGGAATTTACGCCCCGATCCCCCATTAACTGCTTCCCCTAAGTTCATTTCTGCTATTTTGGTTTGCCGGGACGTTCGGTGTTGGGATTCGGAATGTTTTGGGACACTTAGTCCCTAAATGAGAGCTTAAGAGTTGAAAAATGGTCCGTAATCGGAACAGTGTAAAGACGACCTCGGAATGTATTTTGGAGGCTCGTAGCTCATTTAGACTTGTGATATTGAGTTGTACTTGCCAAGCGGCATACAGTACAATTTCCTTTAGATATTTGATTTGATTTTCTCTATTTTTCCGCAATTAATATATTTCCGCAAATGTTAGGCTTACCTGGTCATGGGGACCAGGTGCCGTCATGACATGTTCACGGTTGGTGAACTAGGGTCGTGACAAGTTGGTATCAGAGCTCTAGGTTCATAGGAGTCACGGAACACAGGCCGGTTTATTAGAACCTCGCTGATCGGTACGGAGACGTCTATACTTATCTACGAGGGGCTATGTAACTGTTTAGGAAAAATCTTCGTTTCATTTGAATTCCTTGTCGTGCGATATTTGACATCAATTCTAAACTTCTGACTTCTATTCTCTCACAGATGGTGAGGACACGTGCCACTCGAGATGACCAGGCACCCGCGCCCCCTACTGCAGCCGTCAGAGGCCGGGGCCGGGGAAGAGGTCGAGGGCGCGCACTGGTGCAGCTAGAGCACCTGCGCGAGCTGCCGCCGAGGTACCACCAGCAGATCCAGCCGGAGCCCAGGCACCTGGCACACCTACTACTGCCACTACTACTCCAGCGCTCCAGGAGACTTTGGCTCAGTTCATGAGCATGTACACCACCTTCGCTCAAGAAGGGTTGCTTCCCATTGCTGCAGCCACATCCCAGGCCGGGGGAGGAGCACAGACTCCCGCCGTCCGCACTCCTGAGCAGCGAGTGCAGGTTGAGCAGGCTCCCGAGATTATTCCGGCACCGCCTGCAGCGCCATTTCAGCCCGAGGATGGGTCAGCTGCTTCAGAGGACGAGCAACGCAGACTCGAGAGGTTCAAGAAGTATGATCCCCCAGTGTTCAGTGGATTAGCATCAGACGATGCCTTGGGATTTCTAGAGGAGTGTCATCGTATTCTTCGCACTATGGGCATAGTGGAGTCCAGCGGGGTTTCTTTCACTGCTTTCCAGCTTCGGGGAGCTGCCTATGATTGGTGGCGCACTTATGAGATAGATAGTCCAGTCGAGGCTGCTTCACTGACTTCGACCTAGTTCTCGGACATGTTTATGAGAGAGTTTGTTCCCCAGAGCCTCAGAGATTCATGGCGCGCAGAGTTTGAGCACTTGCGCCAGGGTGCGATGACAGTTTCAGAGTATGCCATCCGTTATACCAGGTTGGCCAGGCACGCACCGGCTTTGGTTGCTACAGTTCGAGAGAGAGTTCGCAGGTTCATTGAGGGCCTTATTCCGCCCATCAGGTCTAGCATGGCTCGAGAGTTGGAGATGGACATTCCTTATCAGCAGGTAGTGAGCATTGCTAGGAGGATTGAGGGTATGCTCGCCAGGGAGCAAGGAGAGAGGGAGGCCATGAGGTCTCGAGAGTCGGGTCATTACTCTGGTGCCCGTACCCCATCAGTAGGTCGTTATGGTAGGGGTTATGCGGGTCGCCCTGTTCATTCAGCTCTTCCAGCAGCCGACAGTACTCCAGCTCCGACCTGCACGTCAGGAGCCGTTACTATGGCACCTCTAGTTTCTAGCGCGCCTCCTGCGCGGGTGCTTCCAGAGGTCTGCCCAGCAGGCCTAGTCCCAGCCAGTCACAGCCACCGCATCCTCCCAGAGCTTGTTTTGAGTGTGGTGATACACGCCACATGGTTAGGGACTGCCCCAGACTTGGTAGGGGTGCATCTTCACAGACTGCTCAGCCGCAGCGTGCTCCTCAGAGTTC